ATAATAATTTTTTAAAATCCTAGTCATCTCTGTCACTTGTTTCGTGTGTATGTTGGGAGTATTCTGTGCTCTCGTTCTATGACTGCTTAGCGTCTCTTAAACATCTCCTTAGTTTTTCTTTCTTGGCTCAGCTGGTGCAGTGTAGTCCCAGGTGGTGGAAAGTCAAGTCATCTCTAACCTATGAGCCAGCATTGTACTAGCAGGAAACTTCCAGTCTACTGATGAGGTATTGAAGGGAGGATTTTTGTTTCCTGTGGTCCCTTGATGATCTCCCAGCCTCAGGGACAGGGAGCACTAACCCTAAACATCTGATTCCTTTGTGGGTTCTCAGAGGTCCAGGAAACTTGGCACATTCATTTAGGCTGATGGTGGCCACTGCCCACAGATTTCTTCTCACCCATCCTATCCAAGACCCACTGAGCTTTGGGTCTCAGAAATAGTGATGTAAATTCTTACTTTGGAGAAACAAAACCTCACATCATTTTTCTCTGTCTAGGGACAAGTAGAGCCAAAGGCCTCTCACTAACATCCATCCAGTTACATCTAGGTTCTCCTGCAGTTTGGCTGAGAAAAGAGAGATAATTTAATTATACTCTAATTGAAAGTAGCATTCGAATAAACCGAAATTTTTTAAAAACACACACATAAAAGCTGTGATTCAAGAGCATTAAATCTGAAAGCAGTTACACAACAAATAGAGGAGATAAAAAAATAAATCTGACATACATAACTCTTGAGTTTGAGTTCTTAAAAAAGTAGATTTTTTTCCCCTAACAGTGACAAAAAGTAAGCTCCACTAAGTACATGCACAATTCTCTTTTTAATATAACTATTAGGAAATAGAAATCAGCATGTCCATTCACCCACATTATAATTTTGTATAAGAAATGACCAGACTTTTCTATTTTGACTAACATGTTATTACTTCATGGTTAAATTACACAGAATATATGGTGTATATCCAAAGGAAATAAAATCACTATCTCAAAGAGATATCTGCACACCCATGTTAGTGGCAGCACTATTCATCATAGCCAAGATATGAAATCAACCTAAGTGTCTATCAACAAATAAGTGTATTAAAACATATAGTATTACAGGATGGAATCGTATTCAGCCACATAAAGAATGAACTAGTGTTATTTGCAGCCACATGGATGAGCCCGGAGGATATTATGTGAAGCGAAATAAACCAGGCACAGAAAGACAAATACCACATGTTCTCATTCATATGTGGAATCTAAAAAAGTTGATCTCATAGGAGTTGAGAGCAGAATAGTGGTTACTAGAGGCTGGGGGAAAGGAGGCTGGGAAGAAGTTAGTCAACATGCCCAAAGTTATAGTTAGGAGGAAAAAGTTCCGGTGTTACATTGCACAGTAGGCTGACCATAGCTAACAATAATATATTGTATATTTCAAAATAGCTAGAAAAGAGGATTTTGAATGTTCTCACCACATAAAAATGATAAATGTCTGAGGTGATGGATATGCTAATTATCCTAATTTGAGCATTACACATTATATATGTATCAAAACATCATGCTGTACCCATAAATATGTACAATTATGTGTTGATTAAAAATTTAAAAAATTAAAAATAATTATACACAGTGATCAGCATTTACCCTTCTAAATCAAGTTTCACTATAATAGCAACTGACTGCATATACAGTCTACCAGAAAACATTTTTTTTGAAATGTAAGAATTATTTTTATCAAACTATTTTCCACGTCCTAGTGCTTTAGGATGCCAATTTTACCTATATATATTTTTAGGTGCATCCACATGTCTAGAAGAGCTGTTTTCTCCTTGCTTGACTGATCCAAATCCTTATGAAAGACACCTCTTTTCTCAAAGAAGGAGGTATAGGAGAAATCCCCCAAACCTGTAATTCTTGGTAGTACTATTTAGCCAGAAATTGATAATTTGACTTTTTAAATATTTTTGAAGTTGTCAATGAAAGAACTTAGTCAAAGAGTGAATGTTTATTTTCTGCTGTGTTTCTGTCCCTTGGAGAAACACATAAGTTATATTCTTTTCAATCCTGTATGCCCACTTCTGAGTGGACAGGACAATTTGGACAATCCCAAAGACACGATATCTCAATTTTTATATTAAATTTGGTATACTTATATTAAAGAAGAATGCTTTACTTTTGAGTTGAGAAAAAGAAGAGTGTAAAAATAGTGAGATACTAACGTGCAACGCTGGATATTACACTGGATGTAAGCTCACTATACAATCTGTGGCTTAGATACAGTAACTTTTTCTCCCTGAATAAACTTGTGGTGTGGTGTGTTATTCAATGAATGTGAATATGCTTTTTGTTTAACAGAATTTCAGTTAAATTATTGTTAAACCATTTCCTCCACAGGAAACAGATTCTTGATTTATGGAGTAATAACTTCCTTTTATTCATCTAATAAGAAATTCAAGAGCCATGAACACCACTTAGTTTTCTACCTATGTTTAGAGAAAATGCAACTGCCCAATCCCTGTGGAGAGCATGCAAATTGCAATGCCTGTTTGCCCCATGTCTGGGTCAGAGGGAAGCCATCTCGCTGCCTTTCATAGAAGAAGCACTATCTCATTTTATGCACGGCATTGCCCACTGCTTCAACCAGCATTGGGTAGTTTTAAAATGGCCTAAACGTAGGATGGCCAGTGACTTTCTCTTGAGATGGTCAGGCATGAGGGTTTCCGCCCAATAAAGCAATAAAGGCAGAGGTAGTTCCCTAACACATCAAATCATTCCCTCTCTTTGGCATTTTTAATGAAGAAGATGGAGAGCAGTGATCCATCAGAAGTGGAGGAATGTCAACTCACAGAGATACACAGTGGCTCCAGGGTGTCCTGAGTAGAAAGTAGAGAGTAGCTGGTTTCTAGCACTGCCTTGAATCCTTTGTCTTCTACATACTTTAGGTCATACTCATACACACACAAATAATCTGAGTGAATCCCAATTACTTTCAGTGAGAAGGGGTTGATACAATCCTCAAATGCCATTTTTATTGCAAGGTTATACAGCATAGCTCATTCCAAATGACCTGGAACAAGGCCTGTGGCAAAAGGATCGTATTTGTGTTTACAAACTTACTTGTAAAAGACTTCCACCTGAGAAATTAGATAATTGCTTATTTTGGGGGCGAGGATAGTAACGAGTCATTTAAAAATGTCTTTAGAACTTGCAGAAGCAAAGGGAAAAAATGACAGTCCCAACAGGTAAAATGAGTAAGTCCGACAACATCATTTGATAGTGAGAAACTGAGGAAATGGGAACTCACCAGAGGGGAACTGGGTGACACCTGGTAAAAGTGGAGATGTGCCTACCCCCAACAGGTGTTTGTTTGGGAAATCCTTGCAGATGTTACAAAGACACTCATATAAAAATGTGTATTGCAGCACTGTTTATGATAGTGAACAACATCTCATTCATATTTTGAATGTAATGAATACAAACGAATGAAAAAACTGGAAGCATCCTAAATGTAATTCATTTCCACATTCCTGTAAGCCTCACTGCAAATCTCAGGGACAGTTACTATCATCATCCCATTGCATAGATGAGGAAACTGAATCAAAGAGGTTACATACCTTGCCTAAAGCGAGTGAAGAATAGAAGCAGGATTCACACCCTGGAAGCCTGTCTTTAGAGTCCTTACATCTGTATTAATTATTTCTGTAACTTTCTCTCTCAAGATTGCATAGACATGTGGAGTGAGATAGAGCTAATGCTCAGTAGTCTTAGCGTATAGGGGAGTAGTGACTACCCTGGGATTGGTGAGTGCTAAGTGATATGTGTTGAATCAATATTTAGGTGCTGGAGGCAAATAAGCCAGAAATCACTAAATGTCCAGGAAGCAGCCATCAAAATGAAGCAGGATTGGAATGAGCGGAACAGTCCTTGCAGCTCCACCAAGTCCGACAACAACGAGTTTAGAAACGAAAATGACTCCAGGTTGATTAAGGACGTTTTGTACACATACCTGTTAGACTGGGGCACAGTCAACTTAATGTGGCAGTTGTAGATAAGCTACTTCAAAGCAGTTAACGCAAGCAGTGAGGCATTTGGAGCTGGAGATAAGAACGATTCTTCTCAAAACAGTATTGAAGTGAGCAGGGACTTGACGCTTCAGAAGTCAGAGCAGCAAAGGTGAGACCAGACTCCTCGAGACGGGCCCATCACACGCATAATTGACTCCTGGGCAGTGGGTCTCAGAAGGAAAAAGTTTATGCATGTTTTCCTTAAAAATGTAGTCACCATATTTAGAGAACCCTTCTGATAGCTAGTCTAAATCTGTCTCTAAAATTTAATCTTGCACATTCTTTTCATTACATTGTTAAGATAACAAGAATAATTCCCAGTGGACTTCCATTTCTCCTTTACAGATACTTCATTTTATTTTGTACTTGAAGACTGTTAATAAATCACTCTCCAGATAAGTACAATTCAGTGCTAAGACACTTAGCTTATCTGACCTTCACATTAATTATTTTTATTACACCAGTAGGAACTTTTAACGTCCTTTTTCCTCTTCCTTATAAAGCCACATAGCCCCAAGTAGACACAGATCTCTCACAGTGCTTAAGGGCAAGCTCCTTAAACATGTAGATCTCTTAAAAGTTATCTCTTGTGTATGCCAGTCTGAACTCCAGGTTTCCTCGGTAGATTTAAGGGGTCTTGGATCTACTTGAGCATGAGTGTTTGGAGATGGCCCTAAAATTCTTGCAAAAACTGAAAGTGAAATGAGGAAGACAGATTGAGCAATCCTTTAGAAGGGCAACCACCCGTAAACCTACTGTACAGTCAGGGCAGAGATGCAGAAAGGCAGAAAGAAGAAAATTCAGGAAAACTCTCCTGAGGGGGTGAGCCCAGCTCTGCACTGTAGTAAATGCAGGACACCAACAAACACAGATAACAGGAAATGATCCATTCCCTGTGGTCACTGATTCTAAAGGCCCCAACCTTCAAGGCTCCAGGAGCGAAGCGGATGATTCCATGGAGAGGGAGCAGTCACGCCTTTCTTCTAGCCTCAAAAAAAGAGAAGAAATGAAACCGAAGGAGTGTGTTTCCATCCTCCCGCAGAAGGAAAGCCCCTCTGTGCGAGTCTCCAGAGATGGACAGCTGTTGGCTGCAACCTTGCTGCTGGCACTGCTGTCCTGCTGCCTGGCGGTGGTGTCTTTCTACCAGGTGGCCACCCTGCAAGCGGACCTGGCAAGCCTCAGGGCAGAACTGCAGGGCCACCAAGCTGAGCAGCTGCCAGCCCCTCCTGAGGAAGCTGCAGTAGTCCCCACGGCTGTCCTGGGGGAAGCTCCAGCTGTCACCCCAGGACTGAAAGTGAGTTTGCAGCAGCTGCAGCCTCAGGCACAATTCTGCCTACACAGCTGCCTCCGCCATCCTCAGCTGTTTCTCCAATAACTTGGGGATTTTCTGTTCACAGGAGATCTTTGTACCACCAGCTCCAGGAGAAAGCAACTCCAGCCGGAGCCGCAGGAGTAAGCGTGCCCTTCAGGGGCCAGAAGAAACAGGTATGTTTTGAACACAGAAGCTTTTCAGAGTCAGTGGTTACAGTGTTTCACAGGTGTAGAGAATAACATCCTGTTTGGGGGAGCTAGAGGTGAGCATTACCTCTATAAACCTTTTAAATAGAGACTATGAAATTTGTCATTTAAACCAGATGTGGCTTTATAGCAAAGCCCCAGCACTGGCAAATGCAATAGGATGCAGTGTGCTTTGTCCACCAGTGAGCAGATTGTGTGGGTAGAAGTTTCTACCTGTGCATAAATATTTGTGCATTAAGCATACAGGAGAAAAAAGGGGCATGTGTTTTTTCTCAGTGTACTCCTATGTGAGAAGCATTATCCATCATTCCAGAAAAAAACAAAAAAGCACTCCACGCTACTGTAGAATTAGACTTTGTTTACCTGGGTCGTAGCATGTCAGTTAAAGACAGATATTTCCCGAGGGTGGGCATTGCATGCCGTGAAACCAAGTAAAGGTCATGATGGAGATCCTTATATGTTATGCTTCAATTTTGTTTCTTTTAAAAGAAGATTACTTTACACACACACTCACACCCCACAAACACACTCACACACACTGATTTTAAGGCTTTCCTTTAAGGTATACTTTTCCAGGAGATCTATGTGTTTATAATCTTCTTGTTAAGTTCTTTGGCAATTTCTACCTTTCTTCACGCTCCACTCGTTCCATAGAATGTTATGGAGTTAGTAGGTCCTACCAAAATAATCCATTCTAATTCTTTCACTTCAAAGATGCAAAGACAATATTTGCATTACACTTAACATTATAATATAACAAATCCTTGGTATTATTTTCCTTTTTTATTGAAAGAACATTATTTGAGCACCTGGAATATACCAGGTGGGTATAGAAAAGAATAGGTATTTTCACACGTACTATTTCATTTAACCTTCACAGTGACTCTGTGAGGTCCACAGAACACACATAATTATTTATGTACCTGCATGAGAGACACCATGACAGACACACAAGGTGCCCTTCCATTACACACATGCACACACACATATGTGCACATGCGAGGTGCCCTGGCTGTAAACTTATTTTTTTGCTATATGCCATATTCATGAAAAAAATTCTTCCTTATTTTATAAAACCATAATTTTTGGTATCTAGTTACTATAGCTTTGTGCCAGTTATCAAAAACAATTGAATTTAAACATTTTAAAATTAGGAAATAGTCACATTTTTATTACTTTAACATTTGTCAGTTAGTTATTTTTGTAGTTTGTATTTTATCATCTACATTTTATACATAATTGAAAATAATACAGCATATATACTATGGTGTATGTTTTATTTTGACTTATCAAACAGTAAACATTTTTCCTATTTCTAAGTAATTCTCATATATCCGCATTAATTTGCTACCATCCAACTATTTAACATGGTTCTTTCCCTTTTTTTGGCTACGATACAGCATGTTAAATTTTTGTGCAGAACTCTTTTGTTTCTGAGGAATTTTTTATTCAATATAAAATCTATAGAGTGAAATTTCTGAGCTAAAGAGAATGAACATCTTTAACACTTTTCTACCTATTGCCATATTGTTTTCAAAATGAGTTACAAATGTATGCAATCAAAAATGCTGTGTACCAGTTCTCCACATTCTTACTAACATTTTATCTTTTAAAATTTATTTTGGCACGTTAAGTAGTTGTAAAACAATATCTTATATTAATGTTTTGCCTGTTTTTACTAATAAGAATGAACTTCTTTCTAAACAGTTTGATTACTTCTATGTTTATCTTATGCTAATTTTTATTTATAACTTTTCTCATTTTTCTGCACTAATTTTTTTGTAACTTTGAACAAACTCTTTCTAATTAGACATATTTGTCAAAATTTTGATGCAAATATTTTCAGTGTTGTGCTGCTTTTCTTGTGCAGAGATTTTGCATCTGTATATGTTGCGATGATCTTTTCCTTTTGATATTCTCTAATAAATTAAAACTAAAAGTATATTCGTTCATGATCTCTTAAGCAGTCAACTCTATTCCTTGCTACTTTGGCTTTTTCATAGTTTAGTGTTTTGTTTGCTTTTAACTCATTAATTCTTCTGGTGTTTATTTTGGTGAATCTTCTCTTATTGGCTTTAACTTCCCCCTTCCTCTCTTTTTTTTTTCCCCTTCCAAACTGCTATCTCAACCAAATGTATTAAATAATTCTTGTTAACTTCTTTGTTTTGGGAAGCTTACTGCACATTATGTTAAGTTCTTCATATAGTTGCATTTATTTGAGGCTCTCTGGTTTTTTCATTAATTTATTATTCTATTTATCTGATTTAAAAAAACTTATTTTAAGTATTTTTGTATTATAATGGACTTCAATATCTAGGACGGTCTGGATTCCTCACACTTTTTTAACCTCCTCAGTAGTGTTCCAATTTCTAAATGTTAGCTTTAAAAATAAAACTTAACTTTACCATTCTAAAGAAGATATAGACTCATGACAGCAGATTTGAGAAGAATAATAAAGGTAAGAAATAAAAATTTTCTTGACTCACAGTTTCCCAAAATGTCCTCTATTACTGTTTTACTTACTTGCGCTTTAATGGCATCCAAAAATTGTATACTGATGAAAATCTTTCACCAAATATTTTGCAATTTGTAGAAAGTTTGGAGAATAACAGAAAACTCTAACAAAGTGAATTAAAATTTACCCAGATTTCCACAGCCTAGAGGTAATCACTATTTTCATTTCGTGGTTTGGCTTAGACTTTTTAATAAACCTTTAATATAGTGTGTGTGTGTGTGTATGTATGTTGAGCCTTGAACAACATGAATTTGAACAGTGATAATCTTCTCCTTTTGATATTCTGTAATATTCTAACAAATATATTAGAAAAATGTTTTGAGATTTGTGACAATTTGAAAAAACCTGAACTACATAAACAAACATAAAGATGCAGTATTAAATCATAACTGCATAAAATTAACTGTAGTACATACTGTACTAGTGTAATAATTTTATAGACACCCCCTGTTGTTGCTATTGTAGTGAGCGCAAATGTTGTATCTGCTTAAAGCTGTGTGATGCTAATCATCTTTCTGTGAGTCATCTCTCCGGTAAATTGTGTAACACAGTAAAAAGTGATGTCTCACGATTCTCGAGAATTTTTCGTCGACTTGAGTCCAATATCATAAACCTTGCACAATAACATGAGACCCATATGAAGTGCCACTAGTGATGCTGGAAGTGCTCTCAAGAAGCAGAGAAAAGTCATGACATTACAGGTGACCCTTGGACAACACAGGGTTGAACTATGTGGGTCCACTTTTATGTGGATTTTCTCCCACCTCTGCCACTCCTGAGACAGCAAGACCAGCCCCTTCTCTTCCTCCTCCTCATCAGCCTGCTCAATGTGAAGACCTTTATGATGATCCACATCTACTTAATGAATAATCAATGTATTGTCTCTTCTTTATGATTTTTGAATAACATTTCATTTTCTGTGGGCTGATTTATTGTAAGAATACAGTATATAATATATAGAACATACAGAATATGTGTTAATCAACTGTTTTTGGTGAGGCTTCTGGTCAACAGTGGGCTGTTACTAGTTAAGTTTCTGGGGTGTCAAGATTTATGCATAAATTTTTGACTGCATGGGGTCAGTACCCCTAATCCCTGCGTTCTTTAAGGGTCAGTTGCATATGTTTATAATAGTGTATGTGTGTATATAACATAATATATATATTGATCATAGTCATAAATCCAAGATGGAAGATTCGAAGATAAGAATCTTAGTGGCAGGTAATATCTACTATTCCTTGTCAGTGAAATTATTTTGAATGTTGTTCTAGATACTATTCATTAGTAGAGAGAAAATTTATTTTGTTTAGCACTAATCAAAATTAATATATATGTACCCAAGGAAGTTGTGTGAAACTCAATGATGTTTTTAGGAAGATCTTTTTTTTGGAATCGAGAAAATTCTATGAAGCTTAAATCTATGCAGTTTTCTTTGATTTTTGTTTACATTCTAGTCATTCTGATTCATTTTCAGAAAGACTCAAAAACCTTAGGTTGCCCTTTTTACTTTCGAAGTGTTAATTTCTGTTCTCACTTATTAATTGTCTATATATATTTTAGAACCACATATTCTTATTGGCACCTCACACAAACAGCAGATGACGGGGCAGCATTACCATCAGCCCACGTGCCCACTCCATACTCTTGTCCTTCCCGTCATCCAAAGGGTAAACACTGCTTTTACTTAATTTTACCATTTAGTACTTTGGCTCCAGTTTTGTTTTTCTTAATTATTTTGTGTTTCAAATTAAAATCCCATTAAACTTAAAGTATTTCATAAGATCATTTTTGATTATAGTATAATAAACAGAAATGTGGGGAAATCCAGAATTACCAAATTGCCAAATAGGTCATATTGGCCAAAAATTCACTTTTAAGCTCATAAGTGTGTTTGAAAATATTCCCAATGAAAAAAAATAACTAAAGTACTATGGCTTTGAAAATATTACATAATAAAATTTCTTTACAAATGGAATCATGATGATCTACATTTTAAACACTCACCTAACTACAATTTTGTTCATAATAAGAACCTAAAGATAAGCAACTTCAGAGCCTATCAAGAAAGTGAATTCTTTCATGTGGGTTACTACTGAACTGAAACAGTTTACTGTTAAAATCAGGTCACCTTTGTATTTTCTCCTTTGTTTTTAGTAGGGAATTTAAAAGCTACTAGAAATTTTTGTTTTAGGTTATAAAAAGAGAAAACTACTTTTATCTATAATTTTTTTATCATTTCCTCAATTGTAATAGTAAAATATTGGTGCAAATATGAATAATTCAAAGAAATGTAAAACAAGAGTGAAAAAAATTGCTCATATTTCATCTTCCAAATAATAATTGTAAGATTTTGGCCAATCTACTTTAAGTTTTATTTTTTAAATAAACTTTTTAGTTCGGAATTGTTTTAGAATTACAGAAAAGTTGCAGGTAGTACAGAGAATTGGCATGT